GGTGGAAGGGGAGCGGGGAGTGAATGGGTGTGCGGGGGCAGATCAATGCCCCCACAGTGTAGGAGGGAGTGGGACTGGAGCAGGCTGTGCCCACCCAGGGTGAGGCATGAGATGGAGCCATGGCTCATCCAGAGGGCACTGCAGGGAGGGCAGCTCCTGCCACTGTGTGCACCCCAGGAGGGCAAGGAGTGGGCAGGGAGGTCATGCCCCCAGATCCACAGTCAGCAATCTGCAATAGCACCACAGGGCAGGCCTGCAGTTTCCAGGTCCCACTTGCAGGCTGGCCCTGAAGCTTTACTGAGAGCCAAGTCGGGTGGACAGAACAGCCACAACTCACCTGGCAGGCAGCAGGTCCTCCCATCTTGAGATTTGTGGTTGGCCCTCATCATCACAGACCCAGAGCTCCACCTGTCCTTGCTGGATGCTGCAGATTAAGTCAGGAGTGGGACCTTGATATCCTGTGTGGGCAGTGGTTAAAGAGCATTTATGACTGGGTACAGGATGCAGAATGCAACTGGGATTTAGGGAATAGATCCAATGAACTCAAGGTGTCTACTAGGGCCTTGATGGATAAGGAAGCATTTAAGGTGAAAGAGAAGGCACTGCAGGGAGAAGCCTTCAAGAGACAACGATCCTTGTCACCCAGGTGCATGAGGAATGGTCATAGGAAACAAAGCACCAGCTACTCCCGATTTAGAAAGAGCATTAAACTGACAGAGTCACCAGGGACAGGTGTGGAGATGCATGATCCATTATGTACTGGGGAGCAAAAACAAAGATTTCCCTGTTTTCAAAGTACCAAAAGGAAGAGATATTGGACAGACTTATGGATGGATAACACTCATCTTATCAGTGTAATTCCAGGAAAAGATGTGAAGATGAGCTCAGTGAAGGGAGTCATGGCAGTGAAAAGCATCCATGACAGGTGCTGACACCTTTTCTGGGAAAGAGAAATTCATCATGACGAGGGACAGGAAAGGATGATTTCATAAAAAAATGCAGCTGAGCAATCATCCCATCCACTGGGAAGATCATCCCAGGAGGGGGGAGGAGGGCACAGGCTGGCAAGTACTGCAGGGGTGAACACCAAATTCCTGGGAGTCATGGGTATGGACAAAAGAAGGCAGAAAGAGGCACATTTCACAGCATGTGATAGGCCATAATTTAGAAATGGTCGAGATGGTCTTTGCCAAGGGAAACAAAACGTTGAAGCACTTCCCTCAGGAAATTTTCTGTGGCAAAGAATTTTCGGGGGTCGGACTCGATGATCTATTGAGGTCCCTTCCAAGCCTAACATCTATGAATCTAAAGGCAGGGGGAAAAAAGCATCAGAAAAGCAAACTCACCTAGTAAAATCCCAGTACCTCAACTCCATGCACAAGCAAGTACAAGCCCCTGTATTAAAGATCCTGTGGAAATGAAAACTGGTTCTCACTAGGTCCTGCAGCTAGCCCACTTCTTGTCATCACAATGATGGGCATCCGATCAGCAGAGGGATTTTAGGAAGAGCACAAGAAAACTTCTGAGAGTGGCAGAGGGAGCTGGAGAGCACAGGCTTAAAAAAATACAGCAAAGCCAGAGTCTCCTGTCTATGGATGTTAGGAAGGGATGTGGACAGGAACTTCCAGGGACCTCTTGGCACACAAACCTGGGTTACATCTCGTGTACACGTCACTAGAGGAGCAGTTTAGGAAATGCATCATCTCCCTGTTGTAGCTGCAGAGGCTGGTAAGGCTAACTATGACTTGTGCCAGGTCGTAACTAAAGGAGAAAGGGGATTTAGATAGGGAAGTGAAGGGAGGAAGTAACAGCTTGTAATAATGTACGTTCACATGAGCCCAGGGTGTGTTTTCCGCACAGAAAACAAATCGTGTGAAAGGCCTTTGCATTAAGGCAAACTTCAATAGTTCAATATATTTTTATGTAGCAGAAAGCCCCCTTTTCCTCTTGCCTGCATTTGCTCTCCACTCTTTGGATATGTTTCTTTTTTTCTACCTTTTCTTCCTTCTTCTCTCTTTCATTTTTAGATAAGGAATTGTGTTTTAATAATATGTATGTGTGCATTTTGTATCTCCCCTTGTATTTTGGTATTTTTATCTATTTGTGTGCCATAGCATTTGTAGCTTATATTTTATACTCCTCGCCTTTCAATTTTCAACTAAATGTGTTTTAGTAAGTTATACATTGTAACAATGTTAACAAGGGCAGGAATCAAACTGCTCTTCTCTGTATCAGGCTGGCCCCTGAAAGAGCGAGTGAATCAGTGATTGAATGTGTAACACAGTAGCAGCACACAGCTATTATCACCTGGAAGCTGCTGAACAACCAACGGAAGAACTCAATAGAAGACAATGTAACAACCGGGAAATCTCTAAACGTCACTGATCAAGGGCTAGAAGCCCTGGTCTGAGTTAATCAACGCCGGAGACCAACTTTTGGGTTGAATATCTCCAGATCGACCACTCCCATAGACCTATTCTAAATTCATCAACAGACTCCCAAACCTGCACGTACATGCGGACGACCCCTGGGCTGACAGATGCCGTCCAGTAGCCACCGAGGCGGGGGAAGTCCCATGAGGGTCAATGACCCCTGGATTGGGCAAACCTGAAAACTGGGGAGTCACCAAAGTCTGCCAGGGACAGATAAAATGCAGTGAAAAGTGACCCTCAGTGGCGCCCTCTTGATCTACAACTCGACCAGACCTGTCCAGCCAGAAGGACCAGCCGGCGAAACTGCTTCTGGAGGATAACACCATGCTGAAAGAAGCCTCGACTGGCCATCGACGGCAGGATAGGTATACCTGACTCTGTAGTCTGCTACTGTGTGTGTGTATGTGTATGCATGTGTGTGTGTGTGGGGACCAGCCCCAAGGTTTATGATTACAGTGTTTCAATCCGCCTAATAAACTAGTATTTTAAGGATCCCGAGTTGGACATTTGTAACCAACATTTAAGTAGGGGGAGGAAAGCTGGACAGGTACATTAAGGCACCAAGCTATGAAACAGTAGAACTGCAATCTTTCTCTGGCTCTGCTATGCAGTCTTTATGCATGTCTGACTTTGGAGCATGCTACGATTGTTAAATGTGTCTGGAGAGGACTCGCTAGACCAGACAGGGAGGAAGTCAGAATCCTCCCCCAAGGAAGAGCTCTTAGTGCATTCGTGTACAATGACGTGGAGATGGTGTGAACGTGCTGAGAAGGCAAAGGGAGATCATGTTGCCAAGAAACTGCTGCATATGGAAGAACCAGGAGTCGCAAGAATGGGGAAGGCACAGGTGAACGTGGCTGGAGCAAATGAAGGAGGAGACCTCATTCTGAAACTTGAGAGAGGCCTGATCCCTGACAGAGCAGTGGGGAGGAAGGGGATTTAAACCTCCAGCCAAAAGTTCATGAGGATGACACTGTTGAAACAGGGGGTAACTACAAAATTGCAGAGTTCACATATGTCTGGGAGGAGAAAGACCCAGAGTTTTACCCAGGGAAACGAGGGCTTGGTGATTCTTCACCATCTGCTCCTGGTAAAGCACCTTGTCTTCATCGTCCGGCAGCTCCCACTCCTCCCGTGTGAAATACACAGCCACGTCCTCAAACACCTCCCGGAGCTGCAGGCACAAGCGTTGCACCATCAGTGTCTCCTGCACCAGCTGCTCCCGGCCCCACAGCCCTGTCTGCAATCACTGGGTACTACCACGAATTGCAATCTTAGCCATGACAGGTAAGGGGACACAACTCCCCAGTCTTCAGCTGACATGTGACGTGGATGCAGCCGCAGATACAGGAGTTCAGGTGCCGGCTTAAGCCCAGCTCATCATGTGGTAGGAGAAACCTCCCTAAGGTTCATTGTCTAGCTGTAATTTGATTGACAGACAACGCAGGTAAAGAAAGACAGCTGTTTATTTGCTCGAGCAAAGACCATAAAGCCAGCAAAAGGCAAAATGGCCCCCCCCTAAGGGTGAGGTGATCTTTTATACTTATTATAACAAGGCAAGACTTCATGGTTAACAAAAAAAGCAATACTTGGGCGGTGCTTTTCAAATCTTTGTAACAGCATATTTCTATTAAGCTGAACTAGCACTTTTTTAAAAGCTAAAAGTTAAGTAACAGTAACATTATAATATGTTAGCAAAACCTTACACAGTAGTAGATACTTCTCAAGGACACAACCA